ATGTTTTATTAAGTAGTAAATGACACCAGATAAATGGTTTTCCCCCTTAGTGTTGCTGCTTGGAATTGCAGCTTCCTTCTAAACATGAATTTTGCCTTCTTTGATTTCCACCTCAGTAAATAATCCCAGACCAACCTTTTGTAACTGCTGAGCAACCAAAAAAAGACATAATTTTATCCTGCTGTTACGACATTGAAGGGATAATCAAGTAATTAGGATGGAGTTATTCCTGTTTATAATTTGGGATGTGCCCACTGACTTTAAATGCTTCCTGTTGGCCAGAAGAACTTGAGAACTGTCCTAGCCCTAAAGCTGCTGAGGATTTGGTGTTTGCTTCTATTTCTCCCTCCAAAGACTCTCCTTGGAGGAGGTTTTGGTGGTTGACAAAGCTTTTTTTGTAGCCAGTGCTGGATTTTCTATCCCTCGGACTGCTCTGGGGGAAATGAGATGGAAAAAGGAGCAGTGGAGCTGAGTCCTTTCACACAGCTCTGCTTCCAGGCAGGTGGCTCCTCGTGTTTTAGGAGGCATCAGCATTCCAAAGGCTTCATTTCCACGTTTGGTTTGTCTCCAGGCTGTTCTCTGAGCTTCATGGCTGATGGTCATGCCTGTAGCCACTTTGCCACCAGAGAATTCCCATTTTTTTCCCCAGTTCCCTTTCATTTATATCTTTCCTGCTTGCCAGGTGAGTCCTGTGGGACTGACAGAACCCATGGGAGCATTTTTGTTCCCTTTTATGCACAATGTCCCCTCAGTATGAGAAGCTTGGTGCTGCTTTGGTTCTTTTGGGGCATTTGTGGCTTTAATCCTGGGGGGAAGGGATGGGGCACCCCCAGGTGTGCATGGAACAGCTCCTGCTCTTGGGTGGGATTGTGCTGAGCTGACAGGCCTTGAGGAGAGAGGCCAGAATGGCTGAATTGCTGAGGTTGGAGAAGACCTTTAAGAAGATCCAGTCCAACCATGGAGCACACCAGTGGTGTGCTCACCTTTAAACAAAATCCTCAGGGGCCACAACCCCACATTCCTGGGACACCTGCAGGGATGGGCACTGCAAAGCTCC